CTCTTTCTCCTTCTCTCTCTCTTTTACATATGCGTATGTGTGTGTTTATTGTGTGTTTAGTGCGTGTTTGTGCGTGTAATTTTGATATAGGGATACATATGAATGTGATCCCAACTGATGTGATTACATATGGTGGTATATTACATAAATTGCGATAATGGATGCTTCTAATAGATTGATATATAATATACAGAAATATTTAAACAATTCGGAGAATATAGGAAGATGTGGAAGATTTTTTAGCAGAGCCAAAACACAATTGTCTTTAATATCTTTATTTCCGGTAGCCACGCTGCAACCAATGATCACAAAAACGCTGTATTGCAAGTCTCCTTCAAACGGGCTCAGTTCCGCCTTTGCTCAACACTAAGAAAAAGTTCTTTATTTATTGGTTTAAGATGATATTTTAGATTTTACAAAAATAATGTACTATTCATTTAAAGTACAGTTCTAATTGCTGTCCCTTTCGGGTGCGTGAACCTTTGCTTGCCGAAGGTCACACGCAGGAGCCGTATATATAGGGGCTTCCACAAGCAGTCAGCAGACACAACGTTCTCAGTGAGCCAAGAACAGGACCAGCCATGAAGCTTACGGTGAGTTGTCATACATGTCAGCTAACGAATTTCTCTAAATCTCTCTATAAACATATATATAGATAGATTGTACATACACACACAACACACGCACACATATTAATGCAAATGAATACTCATATATAATATATACGTATGTATAGATATGTATAGATAAATTGTAAACTTATATATATATAGATATAAATGAATACACATATGCATATGTGTATATAAAAACACGTATATGCTGCAGAATTTTCCCTAGCCAATTTTCCATTAAAATAAATATGTGTATCACTGAATTTGATCAATATCATTTATGAAAAAACACGAGCAAAATAAAATCTAATAATTATTATTTCAATATACAGAACAGTTTGTATACAATTTCTTTTCATGTTGATTTTTCTTGCAGAATAAGATGAAAATACGTTTACATTTTTCCAGGCAATCGCACTGGTGTGTTTGGCAGCAGCTGTGGTAACACACGCCGATCCCGAACCACACAAGTACCACCGCTATCCCTACTACCATTACTATCCTCACTACCATCATGTCGAGCCACTAGAGGGCGATGGAGTGGCCAGGCATCCAGGTGGAGGCACCTCCTTCGTGGCTCCTCAAGTTCACGGCCTCACTAAACGCTCAGCTGACTCCACGCCGGAAGCTGACCCTGAACCAGCAGCTGAATCGGACACCACCAATAGTTATAGTTACCAGGTAGTCCATCATGGTCATCCCCACTATGGATACCACCATGGATATCGCTATCCTTACTCTGGCTACCGCTACAACAATTTCTACGGTTATCCTCACAGATACCACAGCCACCACAAGAGATCAGTCGAATCTGAACCCGAACCTAAACCTCATTACAGCTATTACGGGCGTCCTCACTACTACAACAGATACTACCACGGTTACCCTCACTATTACCCTTACAACGCCGGCTACCGTTATCGCTACAGAGGATAAGGAAAAAGTAAGATATGGATTATGCTAAACCTTGTGGCGACGGTCCTTTACAGTGTTTGATAGTCCGGTTTGCTCACGCCGGTTTTTCAGACACAAACTTCGAAGGAAATAAACTAGAGATCTTTAGGATATTGGATCAGCTGATAATTACTGTAAAGAATAAAAATTAGAATCAGTACTGGGTATTTTTTTACGCCGCTGTAATATTTCAAGTAATTTTCAAAGACCAGTGAAACATTTTAAAATATTGTTATCAATAGCAATTGTTTCTGACAAAGATCCAGGACGCTTGTTCTACATAATTATGATTTTGTAGTACATTATATAAAGTACTGTCACATTCATTGGACATACTTCCCCGTATCTCACTCATGGAACACTTTTCGAGAGCTGAGTAAAGCCGAGTAAATATGAAAAAATTCTTGCTGCCCGTGGCTAATTTCAATCATAGGCTTGCGAAAGAAAAACAGCTCGCTTTTCTAAGTCATTCCCCAATTGATATGAAAGCATATTAAAGCTTATACTCTACACTCTTATCTATAATACAAGTGTGGATTTTCAATATAAATATTTTGTTCCTAGTGCATGACAATTTATTGAAAATGTTCGTGTTTTTGCGCTGTCCCAAACTGCCTGTGAGATATTTATTTTGTTCACATTATAGTCATTATAAAATATATATTGTATTATTTCGTCTTTTATTTAGTTTTCTTACATCATTCGTTCCGAAGAGTAATATTTAAGCTACACAAAGACATGGCAATGTAGCGCTACAGGAATATCCTTGAAATCGGGTTACTTGTTCATTTGCAATCAATTAGACATTTCTATGAACCGCTAAGAATGTCTGGCGAAAAGGCATCCTATTTTTAAACAAGCAAAAGAAGGAAAGAAAAAAAGCTGGAGCTGATATCTCGGGTATATATACATATGTTCAAATTTCCAAATCATTCGATCACATAGTACTTCCGAGTAGCATAGTTGGTAATATCACTTCCATGCGAGGGTTCCCCCCAAGCTCCATCCCATCCGACGCCAAGTGAGGATTGTGTCACGTTGGCGCTACTCTTTTCTTATTGTTTTTCAGCGCACTTAATTCATATGTATAATAGGGAATTACATCTTGAAGCCGTTAGAATGCTGATAACAGTAATAATATCTACCAGTATTGTTATACGACAGATGAACGTTTTCCCGTTTGAGGTGATTAGTTAAAATAGGATCTGGACTTTATGTATTTCTCTAAAAACAACTACTAATGTCAGCAATATGATACAGACATTAAGCAATTATGAAGATTGTTATAAGAGATACATAATCTTCCATGGGTTTTACTTTTCGAGGAACTACTCATATGTGCAAAGTAGATTAGTCCATCTAATATAAACAATTTGTGATGAACCTCGTCGGAAACCAAATAAAATTAAGCAAACTTCTTAAGTAATTTTACCTCAAGAAGTGGGGGTAAATGTCAGAGAGTGAGAGAAATAGAGAGGCCGCGAGAGAGAGGTATAGAAAGTGAATGAGAGGGTGAGAGAATGAGAATATAGTTTATTCACGTTCCATCCCTTCTTATGCTACCGTGAAAAAAACACACAATGAAATGTAGAATATTTAACCATATCTACGATGACGCACACATATAGAGATAAATGAAAAAAAAATACACCCCTGTAATATTTCAAGTCATTTTCAAAGACCAGTGAAACATTTTAAAATATTGTTATCACTAGGGATTGTTGCTGACAAAGTTCCAGGACACTTGTAATAGTACTGAATGATCGAGACTAAATCCTTGATATTCATACAGAAATTCGATACAAAACTTGCATTTGTTCATCGAAGCTGATATATTGTATATCCCTGAAAAATGCAAGCAAGCAAGGAATATAGTTGTTAATGTCGAAATTTCAGTTCAGAATGACAGCAATCTGTAATGAACACGTAGTTACAACAAAATTACAATATTCATCTATTCCCACATTCTTACACAGCATATTGATGTGTGTGTATATGTACGTATATGTATATGATATATATAATATACATATGTATGTATATGTTTATATATAAATAAATGCACACTAACATGTATGAAAATGTATAAACACACACACATATATATATGTTTGCGTATGTGTGTGCATATATATCTCTCTTTCACTCACATTCTCTCTCTCTCTCTCTCGCTTTCTTTCTCTCTTTTACATATGCGTGTGCAACAAAATTACAATATTCATCTATTCCCACATTCTTACACAGCATATTGATGTGTGTGTATATGTACGTATATGTATATGATATATATAATATACATATGTATGTATATGTTTATATATAAATAAATGCACACTAACATGTATGAAAATGTATAAACACACACACATATATATATGTTTGCGTATGTGTGTGCATATATATCTCTCTTTCACTCACATTCTCTCTCTCTCTCTCTCGCTTTCTTTCTCTCTTTTACATATGCGTGTGTGTGTGTGAGAAAGTGAACGTGTTGATATGGTTAATATATACCTACATATACACATATAGATAGAGAGAGAGATATGCATATATGTATTATACATTATATATCATACAATATATATAGATGTGTGTATGAGTGTGTACATACATACATACATATAGATAGATAGATGGATAGACAGATAAATATAGGTGTAAATATAGATATGCATATATATATATATATATGCATGTCCGTATCTATATATATGCGTGTGTGTAAGAAACACAAACACACATACATATATATTCTAATATATATACATGTGCATATATACATAAATACAATGCATATATATTTATTTATTGTGTGTGTGCGTGCCTGTATACACACACATAAATATATATATATGTGCGTATGTGCACGCGCGCACGTGTGTGTGTGTGTGTGTGTGTGTGCGTTCAGTTTGTTTGTGTGTGTGTGTAACATAGATATTGGGATACATATAAATGTGATCCCAACTAATTTCATTACGTGGTGGTATATTACATACATTGCGATATATCGGATGCTTCCAATAGGGTAATACAGAAATATATAAACAATTCGGAGAATATTGGAAGATATGGCAGATTTTTTCAGTAGACCCAAAACACAATTCCCTTTAATATATTACTCTGTGGTAGCCACGCTGCAACCAGTGATCACATAAACGCTGTATTGCAAGTCTCCTTCACACAGGGCCATTTCCGCCTTTGCTTTACACTAAGAGTCGTTCTTTACTTATTGGTTTAAGATGGTATTTTAGATTTTACAAAATTAATGTACTATTTATTTAAAGTTTTAGAAAGTACAGTTCTAATTGCTGTCCCTTTCGGGTGCGTGGACCTGTACTTGCCGAAGGTCACACCCCGGAGCCGTATATATAGGGGCTTCCACAAGCAGTCAGCAGACACAACGTCCTCAGTGAGCCAAGAACAGGACCAGCCATGAAGCTTACGGTGAGTTGTTATACATGTTAGCTAACGATTTTTTTTCTATATATATAAATATAGATAGATTGTACACATATACATATATAAATGCAAATGAATACATATGTATATATATATATATATAATCGCGTATATGCTGCAGAATTTTCCCTAGCCACTTTACATTTAACACGTTACCCGCGTCTTGGCCCACATGTGTACCACTAACGATATTCCTTTATTGGGAGTTGGTACACCGGTGGCGCAAAGATGAGTAAAAAAAAAAAGGATATATTTAATGTATTTTTTTCCTTTTTATACATAGATTGGCTATGGTTTTGGCTTTCATACATTAGCAAGGGACATGAATGAGTAAAATAAAACATACGAGTTTTCTTCCTCATAGCTTCGCTGGGAAGGCCTCCGCGATAGAGGGGAGTCTTGGTTTTGTCATAACGCGGGATCGTGTTAAAAAGAACTGTGTACCACTGAAGTTGATCAATATGATTTATTAAAACACGAGCAAAATAGAATTTAATAATATTTTAATATACAGAACAGTGTGTATACAATTTCTTTTCATGCTGATTTTTATTGCACAATAAGATGATAATACGTTTACATTTTTCCAGGCAATCGCACTGGTGTGTTTGGCAGCGGCCGTGGTAACACACGCCGATCCCGAACCACACAAATACCATACCTACCCGTACTACCACTACTATCCTTACTACCATCATGTCGAGCCACTAGAGGGCGATGGAGTGGCCAGGCATCCAGGTGGCGGCACCTCCTTCGTGGCTCCTCAAGTTCACGGCCTCACTAAACGCTCAGCTGACTCCACACCGGAAGCTGACCCTGAACCAGTAGCTGAATCGGGCACCACCAATAGTTATAGTTACCAGGTAGTCCACCATGGCCATCCCCACTATGGATACCATCATGGATATCGCTACCCTTACTCTGGCTACCGCTACAACAATTTATATGGTTATCCTCACAGATACCACAGTCACCACAAAAGATCAGTCGAATCTGAACCCGAACCTAAACCTCATTACAGCTATTACGGACGTCCTCACTACTACAACAGATATTACCACGGTTACCCTCACTATTACCCTTACAACGCCGGCTACCGTTATAGCTACAGAGGATAAGGAAAAAGTAAGGCATGGATTATGCTAAAGCTTGTGGCGACGGTCCTTTACAATGTGTCTGATAGTCCGGTTTGCTCACGCCGGTTTTTCAGACAGACATACTTCGAAGGAAACACACAATTGGAGGTCTTCAGGATATTCAGTCAGCTGATACTTACTGTGAAGAATAAACGTTAGAATCAGTATTAGATCATTCCTTTACACCCCTGTAATATTTTAGGTGATTTGCAAAGACCAGTGACACACTTTAAAATGTTGTTATCTTTAGCAATTGTTTCTGACAAAGATCTAGGATGAATGATCGAGACTAAATCCTTGATATTCATACAGAAATTCTATATAAAACTTGTATTTGTTTGTCGAAGCTGGTAATTGTATATGCAAACAAGCAAGGAATACGTCGTTAATGTCGAAATTCAGTTCAAAATGACAGCAATCTGTAATGAACACGTGCCTATAACAAAATTATAATATTCATCCATTTCCACACTCTTACACAGCAGATATATATGTACTTATATATATAATGTATGTATGTTTATATATAAATAAATACACTAACATCTATAAATATGTATACACACACACATATATATGTGTTTATATATGTATATCTGTTACTCTTTCTTTCTTTCTCCCCCTCGCTCTCTCTTTCTCTCCCTCTCTCTCTCTTTTACATATGCGTGTGTGTGAGAGAGAGTGATCGTGTTAATATGGTTCTAACTCATTTTATCTAATATAAACAATTTGTGATGAACCTCGTCGGAAACCAACAAATCAAATCGAGAACTTAAGTTATTTCACGTCAACGAAGACGTGGGGGTAAAGTCAGAGAGAGTGAGAGAAAAAGAGAGGCCGTGAGAGAAAGTGAAAGAGAATGATACAATGAGATAGTGAGAAAGTGAGAGAGGTAGAGAGAGAGAGAACTTCTAATAAACTAGCACCCTGGGTTGCAATATTTACGATTTATATACAAAAATGATATTCACGTTCCATTCACAATGAAATTTAAGCTTTTAAACATATCCACGATGACGAACATATATATAGCCGTAGCTGTTTCCTTTGTTCCACGTCACAAAGATTACACACGCGCACAGATGCACATAGAGGCGAGTTAGGCTGCTTTCCATAATGTATTCACGCGGTGGATTATCTCTGATTTGATAGACTTAAAATGTATATAATAAAATGGTTCCAGTATCATCGGCTGTTACTTTTATCTGTAATGTGGCCCAAAACGCGCTTGTGAATAAAATTCTTTCTTTAGTTTTTAAACAATTGGTGTGATCAAACATAGAGAGATGAGTATATATAGACAGGTAGTCGTATGAAGACAAACAATTGGCTATTTATTTATTTGCAAGTTAAATATACATTGCTATGAATGGCTACATGGCGGACACGTTTGACGAAAAGGCATCCTATTTCTAAACATGCAAAAAAGAACAAAAAAGCTAATTAGATATCACGAGTATGCGAACCATGATTTCGCTTCTTGTAACGAGTAGAAATGGATAAACGGTAAACAACGTTGAGGCGAATAAAGTTTAAATAATTTTCGGGGAAAATCCATGAATAAGCGATTTCTGATAAGAATAACCACTTCAAGTGATATCTGAGTTGGTGAATATAGTGTTATTTATTCCCTTCCGAGTTATTTATGGTTTTGGTGAAAAGCACACCAGGGGAAGTTCTTACATTTCACATTTGACTCAACTAAATTTGTGTTGGTAATATATCCACATATTATTTACTATTAGACCTAAGAAAGGCTGCCCGTGTATTTTTTTGTTTTGTGTTTTTATCCTCATTATTATATTTGAGACATATCTTGAATGAAATCATTCAAAAATATTTAAAGGCCAATAGGTTTTTTCATATAAAACGAGACAAAATCAAAGCAGAAATAATTTTACACTATATATTTACGTTCGGGAAAACGTAATACAGATAATGTTTATCGCTAACTTTTCCTTAATCAGGCTCCGAAATACATTACCAATATAAAGAAACATAAAACGCACACAAATACATAAACACAGATCTATTCACCCGAACACACACAACACATAAACAAAGACACATTAACACATACCGATACTTGTTTCAAATTTTGTTTCATTTCTCATCCTTTAATTACTTCGAGTAGCATGGTTGGGAGCGTGACTTCCTCTCGCGCGAGGGTCCCGCGATCGATCCCGACCTATGCCAAGTGATCATTGTCACGTAGGCGCTTCTCTTTTCCTTTCGTTTTTTTTTCGGTGTATCTATTGCAGATTTCTATAAGCCATTAAGATGATAACGACAACACTGATAATAAATATTATTATTGTTATTCGGTAGAAGGAGCGAGGAGGTTCTCTATTCATCAGACACTGCTCCCTCCTTTAATTGTGTTTATACGACTACCTGTCTATCTATGCCCATCTATCAGTGATCACACCAACTATTTAAAAACTAACGAATTAATTTTACTCACGAGCGCATTCAGTGCCAGATTGCAGATAATATATGTATTTCATACATTATGTATTTTATACGTTTTATGTGTATATATATTGTTTCTTATTCATCTCTTTCTTTCTATCTAACTTTGCCCTCATCTCTTCGTTGGTGCAGAATCACTTAAGAATTAGGAAAGATTTGTTGGTTTTCGATGAGGTCAATCTCAGTAACATTGTGCCTTTAGAATTGTTTAGGTATATGTATGGCCGTTAAGGATGTACATACTAACCCTCCCGAGGTAACAAATTTCCCATATACATCGTAACCATTACCTGGGAATGCGAGCAAAAAACATCACAAATGACTAACAGGGATTTATATGGGATGGCATTTTCGTCCAGTGAAGTGAAAAGCTACAAAGTAAAAACTAGTGACAGTGACAGTATCACATGAGTCAGCATCAATCATCTAATTTAAATCCAGAAAGTTGTAATATGGTTACATATGCGAACGGATTTGTTGTCTTCTGTATATATCTAAACATTTTCTCTAAGAAATATTGTTAATCTAGTTTATGGTGTTAAAAGATGTAACAAACAAATTACATGAGCAAGTTATAATGATCTCTTCAAAGTAATTTAAGAATAGACCATTTCATGTACAGGAGCAAACACCCAAAACTTTTCATAATGAATTCTTTAAATATTCCAAACCGTATTAAGAACTTTCATATTTAAAACACAAACACATACATCCACACACACAATCATATCTACATTGTTACATGGTGGCCCATCGACCACTGACCTGTGCATGACCGTCACCTATTGCATGACCTCTGCATGACCTGACTGCGACGGACTAACGGAGGAGGAGAACGACCTTGGACGGTTTTACCTTTATATTTGTAGGTTACATTAATTGTCACCCTGTATTACAGTATATGTTTATTTCATATTGAATATTATTTATGGTGTCTTGTGTGAATATATAACATTTGCGTTTTTTCTATAAGTGAGTAATTTGGATATACTTAAAATAGTCTTCATATTTCATCATGAAATTGAAAATATGAATGTTAATTCTTTTTTGCGGATGAGGAGAATGTCTTTTTGTTATCCGGTGATTGGTGTAAAAAGAAGTTAATTCTAGAATGGCTCTATACTCCCTACCTTGCATGCTTACAATAACTAAAAATTACAATACTATAAAAAGAAAGCTACAACAGAATGATAAAAACGAAACATATATAATAGAGATGAATATAACAGCAAATTTAAGCCAAACATCTGGGAGGATTAATTAGTGAATATAACAAAGCTAGAACAGAAGAGCTAGTTTATTGATAAATGATAATTGATGATAATAATGGCTATAACAAAGCTAATATATAACAAGTACAACTAAATATAATTAGTAATGATTAAGAAGTGGTGATTACAGCAGAACTAACACATAAAAACATTTACGCACCTCAGAGTGGACTGTGAATATAAAATGAAATTAAATAAAAAAATATCTATAAACGCTATTTTGATTGACACCAAATTCTATAAACATAGACTAGGTTCTGTTATGCGCCCTTTTTTTGGAACAACCGTTCACTGTTAATGAACGAAAGCTACGTAACAACACAAACACATTTGTATATCTGTGTGTACATATAAATGTACGTGAACGTGTCAATATATATATGTAAGTGTTTAATCATGTGTCTATCTGGCTGTCTCTCTATCTCTCGTTATCTCCCCCTTTCCCCTCTCATTTTCAGTCTCTTTTGGTGTCCTTTCTGATCTCAAGGGATTTCATTTATTATTAATATAATCACTATTATTATTACTGTTATTATCATTTTTACACATCTCCTTTCACCATCTTTCCTACTCCCCATACTTTCTTTCTAAACTTCTCCCTATGCTTTTATTTTTCTTCCCTCCCCCTGCATCTCTCCTCTTGGACTTTAAAGAAAAAGGGAAGAAAACATGGCCGTGTATTTGTTTTTTGTTATTATAGTCGATACAGATTTCAATTGAAATAATTCGAAATTATTTTATAGCTAATTCCTAATCTATATTGTTTTTCTGTTAATACATACATGCATATATATATGTATATATATATATATATATATATATATATATATATATATATATATATATATATATATATATGTATATACATATATATATATATATATATATATATATATATATATATATATGTATATATATATATATATATACATATATATATATTTGTCTTTTATATATAATTATTGTCACTTTTTGTATATAACGATAAAAAAAATTAAGCTTTTAAACTGACTTTGTATTTAAATTCGGAAATACTTAATATAGATAAAATGTTCACTTTCCCTTGATCAAGCACCGAAATACATTACCAATATAAACAAACATAAAACGCACACAAATACATAAACACGGATCCATTAATACGAACACACACAACACATAAACAAAGACACATTAACGCATACCGATACTTGTTTCAAATCATCTCATTTCTCATCTTATAATTACTTCCGCGTAGCC